AGGCTCCCGTCGAGCGGCCAGAGGTGCAGGGCCCACAGCTCGGGCAGAGGGTGCCATATTGTCCCGTCCGCTTGAGAGAGGAAATCTGTCTCAACGGAATGGGCCAAGGGGCCGCTACCAACAGCTTGGTCAGCTCTGATAGCCACAGTTGGTTCTTCCAGAGAGGGGCCACCAGGAGAACCTTGTGTCTCTGTTCCCTGATTCGCCTGATTACCTGTGGGATCAGGGCAATTGGGGAAAATGCATAAAGGAGGAGGTTGGGCCAATCATGGGCCAACGCGTCCCTGATCTTCGAATAATAAATTGGGCAGTGAGAGTTGTCTTCTGAGGCGAAGAGGTCTGCCTCGCCGAAGATCTCCCAGATTCTCTGAACCGTCTGCGGATGGAGCATCCACTCCTCTGAGGGAACATTGCTCCTTGATAACATGTCCGCTCCTCGATTCAATTTGCCCGGTATATGCACTGCCCCCAGCGAGCGCAGGTTGAGTTCAGCCCATTCCACAAGGCGCTCTACCAGAATGAAGAGGTGCTTCGAGGAGAGGCCTCCTTGGCGATTTATGTAGGACACCACCGACATGTTGTCCGATCGGATTAGCACATGGTGACCCTTTAGGACTGGCAGTAAGAACTGACAGGCTCGACATACTGCTAGCATTTCCAAGCAGTTGATGTGAAACCCTTTTCCGCTTTCGACCAATGGCCGAAAGTCAGTTTGCCCTCGCACAGCGCCCCCCAACCTGCGTTGGAGGCATCTGTCGTGACAACTTTTCTCCTGCAAACCATTCCCATGGCCACACTCTGTTCCATCCAGCGAGAGTTCTTCCAAGGGGTCAGGGCTGTCAACACAGGCCTGGCTCACCCTGATATGTAGGCGTCCGTGACACCACGCATGGGATGGAACCCGCGGTTTGTGTGATATTAATTCTGCTGTGTGATATTAATTCTACATCCGACTGGGCCAGCACGAGCCAGTCATCGAGGTAGTTGAGAATGCAGATTCCCATCTGTCTCAGGAGGGGACCGCGTCCATGCACTTCGTAAAAGTGCGGGGAGACAGCCCGAAGGGAAGGACCGTGTACTGATAAGCTACTCCCTCGAAGGCGAATCTCAAGAATCGTCTGTGACAGGGGGCTATCTGGATGTGAAAGTATGCATCTTTCAGGTCCAGAGAAAAGAACCAGTCCCCTGAGCGAATCTGCGCGAGGATCTGTTTCAGCGTAGTCATCCTGAACGACCTTTTCATGTGGTCATGATTCAGGTGTCTGAGATCGAGGATGGGCCGGAGGCCACCATCCTTTTTGGGTACGAGGAAGTAACGGCTGTAGAAGCCCGACTCGCTCTGAGCTGGAGGAACCGTTCCTACAGCTCCTTTTGCCAGCAGATTCATCACCTCTGAGCACCGGAACGTGAGTGCACTAAGGTGGGGACCATGCCGCTGAAGCGCGGGGGTCTTCGAGCGAATTGGAGTGAATAACCTTGTTTTATTAACCCCATAACCCATTTTGACACTCCGGGGATGGCCTGCCAGGCCTCGGCACGCGTGGCGAGGGGTTGGATTAGCTCGAGTGACTGGCTGCACGGGGGCAGGGCACTTTTGAGAAATGGAAGAGGAATTTTGCTCTCTTTTTGAAAATGTTTGTGTTTTATTTTTCCCGCTATAACAGCAGTTGGTTGCTTAGGAGCTTGAACGGGCCCAGTGTTCACAACAAACACATTTCCCTCTGCACCCAGGGTTGAACAGGGTGATAGGAGGCTTAAGAGAGGCTGCTTGGGGGGTGGTCCGGCTGCAGCGAGACTTGGCCCCATCCTCTTCCTGTCTCGCAGATCAGGAAGACACCTGAGGCGCCAAGGAAAGGAAAGGGGCATCGTCTGGCCGAGCGGGCTGCTGAGTCGGCGTAGACTTAGGGCGACTAGGAGCAGCAACGAAGTGTTGCATAGCTTGGGACAACTTCTGTGCCTCCGTGAAGCGCTCTGCGAACCCTTTGACCGCAGGCCCGAAGAGGCCGTTGGGGGAGATCGGGGCATCAAGGAAGGGGACCTTGATCTCCGTTAGCGTCAGCCATAAATGGCACTCGAGCACCACAAGGCTGGCCATCGACATCCTGATCGCCTGAGCGGTGGTCTTGGTGGCGCGCAGAGCCAGGTCAGTTGCACTCCTCAGCTCCCTGAGAGTCGTGGGGTCCAGGCAAGACTCTGAAAGACCTGGAGGACCGCCATTGAATGGAGCGACGAAGCCGCCTGTCCAGCAGAAGAGTAGGCGCGTCCAGCGAGTGCTGAAGTGGTCCTACATGGTTTGGACGGATGGGCGGACTTTGCCTTCCAGCCGATAGCGGGCAGGTGTGCGCGAGGGGCGGAGTCGCTTTCTGAAAAGAAAGCGATCCGCGAGCGTAGAGAGGCGAGACTGAAGTTCTCGCAGTGAGAACAATCAGTTCCCGTGAGTGCAGCTTACGCGTGGGATTTCCCCAAGCAGGAAACGCACTCGGCATGGCCGTCATCGGCTCCCCTGCACGAACTGCAGTAATGGCGTGGCATTTGCAACAACACCAAGCTCTTTTAGAATCGCCAGATGGCGGCAGGGGAAATGGACCGGAACTGCTGCGTTGCTGAGGCGGCGAAGAAGCGGATCAGCCGAGCAGAGAGGTCTCAGTCCAGCTGCGAGGCATGTCAACAGCGAGCAGGCTTTGGGATCAGCGTAGAGTGTAGAGGAGGAGAAGAAATCTGAGAATCCTGTGGCACACGTCCGCTTATATAGCCAGATGGCCCCACCCATTCTGGCGGGCTTTGTCGCCATTGGTTCGTTTTTAATACACTGCATGAACCAATGGCCGTGCAGTTTCACTGTAATTGAAAAATGCTTCAGGTTCAGGAGAAAAAAGGCTTTTTCCCACAGCGTCTTTAACAAGACGCAGTACGAGTGAAGTATCGACAGGGAACTGAGTTATTATAGACCAATCCTGAATCTGCCATTCAGGTCTAAAAAATGAGAAAAATAGAGTCGCCTTCACTTTGCAATGGTACTCGTGAACAGTTTCAATCAGGATTTAAACACCATCATTATTGAAGTGTAGGAGATGTACAGTTAAGACCCAAGGACCACATATGTTGAACTAAGACCAGGAGTCAGCGATGCAATTAACCGAAGAAAAATTTAATGAAGAAAAATAGTAAATAGTTTGCGGTTTCATCAGCAGAAGTCACTCGCAAGAAGTTCATAGGCCACTTTGCTATATAGGCTGTTTTACCGAACATATACGCTTACTACATTTATGGACCTGGGAACATTACAGTTGTGTTGCTGTCTATGGGAGGGTCTGAGAGCTGTCAGATTTAAAGGTACAATATGTTTTCATATTTTCATATGTTTTAATATTTTCATATAGTTTTCACCGCTGGAGAGCGCGTATTCAAAATAAACAAAGAAGCAAAGGCGTAGTTTGATGACGCAGTGACTGAGTGTGGAATCATGGGAGTTGTTCATCCCCACAGCCGAAGCAATCCGACGGGACTCGGGCAGAAATCATGTTCATGGATGAGCTAATGTATTAAAGATTTATTAACATCGTAGTATGAAGCAGAGTGAGGCGGAAAGCCGTCAAAGCGAAATGAGGCTGCTGAAGCAATTGCTAATGAGAGACGAGCACGACACACGGCTGGAAAGCAGCGGAGCTTTTATTATGCCACAGTCGAGCGCTTCCGCTGCTTCCGGTCGTGAGTATGTGGGGTAAAGCAGCGCTGTTTTATCATACGAGATACATTTAGTTCTGTTATAATGCTACTCTGTGCGGTCGTCACCGGTCTATTAAAACACAACATATTAAAGCGTCTTTGGTGTTTCCATGTTTTCTACAAAACAAAACCGGAAATCGAGGGGTTAGGACGTCATTAGCAGGCGACACAATGACACTATAGACACGCTCCGTGCCACTAGTTAAAATTGCTTATTTCTCTGGATTTAAACATTCTTCGAAACATTTGGGATAATGTAAATACACAAGTCAGCAAAATATATAACACTGTTCTAGTGGTTTTTGGATATTTTAATAAAAAAATCTTACATATTGTGCCTTTAATCAAATATCTTAATTTGTGTTCCGATGATGAACGAAGGTCTCACGGGTTTGGAACGACATGAGGGTGAGTAATTAATGACAGAATTTTCATTTAAAGGTACAGTGCTAAACATGCTGCCGACTGTCATTAAAGGGATAGTTCACCCTCAAATTAAATTTCGTTTATTATTCACTCACATGTTGTGCCAAACCTGTATTAATTTCTTTCTTGTGCTGAACACAAAAGAAGATATTTTGAAGAATGTGGGTAACCAGACAGTCACTGGTCCACATTGACTATGATAGCAGGAAAAATTACTGTGGAAGTCACTGGGGACCAGCAACTGTTTGGTTTTCCATGTTCTTCAAAATAGCATTTATGTTCAGCCGAAGAAAGAAACTCATTCAGGTTTAAAACAACTTTTGAGTGAGTAAATGATGGTATAAAAATAAAACACTACGACAGAATTAACAGAATTTAAATTTTTGGGTGAACTATTCCTTTAATGTTAATAATAAAATAGAAAAATCACTCACTACTCTTGATTTAAAAAAACTTTAAAATAGTTGCTTCAATAGGAATCTATGTTTTATTTTTATATTTGTTCATTACATTTCTTGAATGCTCCTGCTAAATACATCACCTATGTATTGTACCTGACAATAAAACACTGTTTGTTTCATTTGTATATTATACACATTCTGATGTGTATCTTTGTTCTTATTCTTTAATAACAAAGATAAAATAATGGCTTTGAGGATGAAACCAACCTGTTTGTTCCTCAGTGTCTTCGTGTTTCAAGCTGAATACTTCTACAATCCTCAGGTCTTCACTCTCCTGTTTAATGAACGCCATCTCGCTTCACCAGGAGGATTTCTGTGTCTGGAAATAAAGAAATATAAACTAAATCACATTAAAGTCAGTCAAAGTGAGAGTTAATGGTGACTCTCTACTGATTTTAAAATCCAAAATCAATTTGCGAAATAATTTAAAATTAGTATATGCAATTCACTAATTTTATGATTGATATGAACCATGTGTGTGCCTAATTCGTTAAAGTTACTTAATAATTGAGCTTTAGGTACTTTTAATTCGTAAAGTATGAAGTGTAACACCATACATTACGATTAGACAGTTAAATTCCTTTGTCAGGGGCATTCTTTTGTTCAGACGCGCCTTTCCATTGTATTGTTATTGTTAAAACGTTACACTTAATAAAATAGGCCAAAGTTAGAATTAGCAGGGAAATCTGACTCTATAGCGATTGACCAGGACGTCACGTACATACATGTATTTAATTACAAATTAGCTAGCTAATGAACCTGGTGAAATGAACCTTGTGCTTGCGAAAAGACAGCAAAGCCACTAAAACTCGCTTCGCCGGGGCGAAATCATGACGTCACGGTTTTCGTACTGAAGCTGCGCATGCGCTGTGAGGGGGAAACCGGGGAACTGAATTCACCGGAACACCTGCAGTGATATTTTCCCAAATATTTTATTCTTTTTGCGTCAGGGCAAGTAATAACTCAATAATTAGCGCTAAGCCCTGTTTATCTCAAACACCAAACCAGCATAAACGTTCGTTTTTGCGCCTAAAGAGAGAGCAGAAACGAACGAATGGCCCAGGGTTTTGTAGATAGTCTGGTTTTATGGGATGTCTAAAAGTGAAGTGTTCTCGAGACGCACCTCACTAACATAACCTTCATTACTGCTGGATAAAGCGTTACTCGTGTTACACTCGACAACAATACATTTGTTTCACGGAGCTTGTCACAGAATTATACTAACGTCTGAGTAGTTTCCATCGACTTTAACACTTTAAACGAACACAAACAAACCTTTCTTCAGCCGGATCTCGAGAGCAGCGGCGCGACGCGGGCGTATGACGTCACAGCGCCCGGCAGCCAAAATAAAAGTCCCGTTCACCGCCGCTGTGTAAAACATCACATTCTGCCGAGAACAACACGAGTGTGAGATCCTGACAGACAGCGTTTAAGTGACTGGTGTAGAATACAGAGTTACACCAGCATTCAAATGCAAACAGTGCGATTTAATAGTTTTACAGCTCTTTATGTGCTACCTTATATTATTATTATTATTAAACACAAACTGCTCTTCTCTCAGGACATTTACAGATGTATTGTGGCATATCCAGAGCCACAAAAATATCTGCCTGAACACGACACGTGTCAGAACGCTAGCAGCACAACCATATTATAACAAAACTAAACTAATTACATTAAAAACAACTGTGAATACACACAATACCATTCAAAAGCTTGGAATAAGTATAATATTAGGGAAAGATAGAAATCAATACTTTTATTTAGCAAGGATGCTTTAAAATGATCAGAAGTGATGATAAAGACATTTACGATGTTACAAAAGATTTCTATTTCAGATAAATGCTGTTCATCTGAACTTTCTATTCGTCAAAGAAACCTGAAACAATTCTACTCCGCTGTTTTCAACATAATAATAGAGCGGAGCCGAGTTTAAACAAGTGTTCAAACTTGAAAACACTCGAGAACACGTGTTTTTTAATACCTATGATCAAAAATCGTCATATCACACACCCCTACACATCACATTTCAACTCGCACATTCTCAAAGAAAATTGGTCTCAGTCTAGAGCCCTGATTAAGGTCTGAAGAGTAAAAGTAAAGGTATGCATTCTGCAGAAAAACACTTTTTATATATGATGGTCTTGCATTAATATTACTGCTGCACTGTGTATGTTGCATTTTTTGGGCGGTTTAATGTACAGCAGTGCATCAGATTGTAAAATGATTGCAGCAGTTAGATTATGTGCAGTAGGGCGGTGTCGAGACGGAGATTGTGAAAGTGAAACGGAGGCAGGATGTTCTCCTTTCGATCTGTACGAACTCTCGTATCAACCGTTTGTTAATATCATATAATCCTATCAGTAATTTATTCAGAAACTCCTGTGCTCAGTTGACGTTAAAACCAAGCGAAAAGCACGTTTGTGTGTCTAGCATGAGTGTGACTTCAGATCAGATGAGTTTAACCGGTTAGGTAGGTCTTTAAGTGACACTAAACCATATAAATACATTTTTAAAAAAAGGATAAAGTCAAATAATGCTACCCGTTGCTTTCTCTGGACTAACTTAAACAGTTGATTGTAGATGTAAAATGAGGTATCTGTCCCTTGAGTATAAATGTGTAAGTATTCAGAGCCAGCACATGCATGTTAACACACGAGTTGCCTGCTTATTATAATGTTTTGTTTTCTTAGTTTCAGCGTTCTTTAGAGATGAAGTTAATTTTTTGGACTCTGCTGATTATTAGTGGAATTGCAGATTCGATATCAGGTAATTATTCACACCCACGTAATGAGCTAAAGTGTATGTTCATGTCTAGTCCATGTCCAGCTGAACTATATTTATTAGAAAGCAATAATCCCCATGAAGCCGTGGTTTACAGTGGATTTATAACCGCTAAGGGGCGAAGCGGAGTCTAAAACCCTCTTAGCTGTTATAAATCCACTGTAAACCACGGCTTCACGGGGCTTATTGCTTTTATAAAACGGTTATTCCATATACGTAGTAAGGTTTCACAAAATAAAACAGAGCAAATAAAGTGTAATGATATTAATAAAAACAGTATTCTTCCACCAAACAATGTAGCTCCTCAGAAACAGTTGTGGTTGCTACAAAGTGGTTGCCGAGCAACACACAAACGTAAACAAAGGTGTATGTTACTTTGTAGAGTCATTTACAACAGCTTCGAACGCGGCTCAGCCAATCAGAATCAAGCACCGGAACTATCCGCTTTATAATTATAGTTTAGTTTATAGTTTATGTGATAATGACCAGCTCACTGTACATTATGACATTTATTACATGGCTACTTAGCAAATAAACGAAGTGAAATTTTGATCTCAGCTGGAATCATTGAAGAAACCACAGAACAGAAACTGGAGGTTTCCTGGATGAACGTTGCCATGGACAGCTGTCATTATTCAGAAATATTGACTAATTAGAATAAAATGTACAAAGAGTAGCCCTTGAAGGCTCAACTGATAGGAGCTTCACTTTTACTAAACCAGCTCTCAAATCTTTCACAGAGCAGTATGAAGTAGTGGGACCTGCAGAGCCTGTATTTGCTGTCGCTGGTGAAGATGCGATTCTGCCCTGTTCAGTCAAACCCAGCATCAGTGTTGTGGACATGAGAGTGGAGTGGTTTAGACTCGACCTGAAAGACTCACAACCAGTGCATCTCTACGAGGATCACGAAGACAGAAACACAGATCAGATTCAGTCCTACAGAGGAAGAACAAAACTGATTCATCAAGAACTGCAGAGAGGAGACGCATCGCTCAAACTCTCATCAGTCCGAGTCTCTGATGAAGGACTTTATAAGTGCTTTATTCAGTCCAGATCCTGGTATGATGACGCCACTGTTAATGTCAGAGTTGAAGGTGAGGAAACTATTGAAGACTAAATTACACTGCACACTAGGCATCATACATTTACTGACTGGGCATCATACACTAAACGACTGAGGATTAGGGTTGCAAAAAAGGTGGAGAATTTCCAGTAAATTTCGGAAACATTCCGGAAAATGTGAAAACTTTGCAGGATTTTTTTGGAATCTTCCAGGGATTTTTGGAAAGTTTCCACCCCTTTGCAACCCTACGGAGGATCACAACAAACTCATGCAGAAACGTGTGCCTTGTTGCTAGGAGACGCGTGACAAATGAAAACATTCTAAATCTAAACATTCTAAATTAGCGTTCTAAAACCGGCTGAAAATATCAAGCATGTTTGATCTCCTCCCACTGGATGGAATCAGAGTCTGAAGTCTGTGACCATCATACACTACATGATTTTCTATGAAATCTGTCAACTCTAATCTGCAGACTGGCTCTGATTGTCAGCAACTAGCGTCAATTTGTTGGGACTGTAAATCGTGGCTTTTGTATTCCAGCTTTAACATGCTCTGACTAAGTGAAAAAAGCCAGAACAACAACAGAATGTTCTTCTTGTTGGTCTGTAGCTGTAGGGCGTCCTCCAGTGATCACTGTAGATGGGTTTGATCATTCAGGAGGGCTTCATCTACAGTGTGAATCGAAGGGTTGGTATCCTGAACCTGATCTTGAGTGGCTGGACGGTGATGGAGTCAGCTTGATTCCAGAAACTACAGAGAAACACAGAAACACGGACAGATTCAGTGTGAAACACAGCATCACTGTACATCGCAGAGACAGCCAGATTCACTGCAGAGTCAAAGTGAGACATCACATGCTGGAGGCACTGATTATCAGCTCAAGTAAGCTGACACTTTCATTACTGTACCATTCGGAACTGAACATTATATATTTTTATTCATCTCGTCAAAATACGCTTGATTTACACAATGTGCTTAATTACGGTTTTGTTTTACAGGTAATATGTTTAATTCTTGGAGGACATCAGTCATCCTGATTGTACTTGTAGTTGTGCTCAGTGTGACTGCTGGAATACTGATAGCTGTGTTTGTCCATAAAAACAGAGGTAAAATGCTTGTTTTCTTATTATTTTATATATTTATGTAAATAAAGCAGTGGCAATATACAGGCTAAACAAGAGCGGTGCAAGAATTGAGCCTTGTGGGACTCCGCCTGTCATGGACGTCCACTTAGACTAGATGCATGATGTTACAAAAATGCAGAACAGAACTTTATCTACACATTTTTGTTTTGATAAACCACCTCATCTGTGAAACATGATGTTGAGGATACAACATTTTTTGAATGTCTTCATTAAATAATTTGGTAACACTTCAGAGACCAATTCTCACTATTAACTAGTTGTTTATTAGCATGCATATTACTAGCATATTGGCTGTTTATTAGCATTATAAAGAAGATATTAATGCCTTATTCTGCATGACCATATTTTACATCCCGTAATCCCCCCCATATAAACTTAAC